AAAAAAAAAAAGAAAGAAACCTTTTTTCTTATGAACTTATGCACTTTTTATTCGTTTAATTTTATTTTTTTAGAAATGTGTGAAAAATTGTTAGTTTTTAATTTTATTGAAGCTTTTTATTAGTTTCTAACTTTTCTGCTGCAACTATGATCGCCAGAGATTATAAAAGTTTTGTCACAAACTTTATTTTTAAATCGGTAGAATGAATAACATTAAAAAATTGTTGAAATAAGTAAATGACAAAAATAGTTGTCTATGAGTAACCTATGAATACGACAGAGTAATCTGATGTTGAGGTTTACTTGAATAGAGGAGATTTTTTTTAATTTTTTAGCAAAAGTAAAGCAAAAAAAATTTTTTAAAGCTGTTTTGTCTCCTGTTTTAATGATATTTTAACAGCTTAGAAAACATTATTTGCACTGTTAGTTACTTTTTTATTTTTATTTTGTATGTTTTATTTAAACCATTCACCAAAACTTAATGCACTCTCAGCTAAAAAGCATACAACGTTAAACAGATAAAGGAAGTAAGATTTCAAAAAAAAAGAACCGAAATTTAATGCAAGTAATCCTAAATAAAACCATAGAAAACGAATTATGCAGTTGTTTTCTAAACATAGATTTAGCTAAAAAGCTGCTGTTTACTGTAAAGTCAAAAAAACTAGCATTTAAAAACTTTGAAATTTTAGTGATATAGAATAATGTGAAGATTTTGAAAGAACGGCATGGTAAAGACCGTTTTTGCTCAAAAGATAAGTGAAAAAAAGAAGTTTTCAAAGTAAGCGTCAATTGAGGCAGAAGCGATTGAACAGAAATCATAACTGGGTTGCTGCAAAAATGACATCAAACTATTACGAACATGTTGAAGCTTAAGTTGAAGCAATTTCTGAAGACCAAAGCACGAAATAAGCAGTGAAACAGGAAAGAAAACTGTCAATAACCTTTGAAGTCTTCTAGGGTCAAAAAGCTACAGTTCTAAACTGTCTATTAGAATGTGCTTTAGAAAAGAACAGTCAATTTTCTACAGCAAAAAATCATTTAAATTTCCTGTAACTCCAATCTATCATAGCATCAGATTTTAAGTTTTCAGCGAAGCAGCAGTCTCAGAAAGTAAAGAACAAACTAAAAAGATACAATAAACGAACTTTAACCAATTTTCTGCTTTTGTTGATAAAGGATATCAAATTTTATAATCAAGTTCCACTTTTTTAATCTATTTTTTAACTTTATTACTAACGTTTATTGTATAAATCACGATAATTTTACCCACATATTTTGACTGCTGTTTAAACGGTAACAACTATGTTCAAACCAAAAAAAAAAACATGTCACTGAAAAGCATGAAAACAGTGACAGCTGAAAAAATATGCTGTTAAACACCGATTAAACTGATATAAGATTCAGAGTAAAGTGAATATATTTTTCAAAAATTTTGGGATCTAAAGTTGTTTCAAAATAAAATGAAAATATATTTTATATTCTATCAATTTTTTGTTTCAGTTGACTTAAAAATACATTTCAGTGTATAGAGGTGGTATAGTATTTACTGCAAATCATTTTAGTTTTAACCTAACGGCATATGATAAGAAACTCATTTTTGTAAGCCAAAACTATTTTACACTTTTTAAAGCTGGTAAGAAATAACAAACTCACATAAGTCACCAATTTATTAAGAAATATGTTCGACTTTTTAAAACATTTATTATTTGCTCAAACGTAGTACGTTACAGCGACAGAATGCCAATCTGTAAATTAAAATGCCATAAAAGACGAGCATTAATTTGTTATATTTAAAGAAAACTGGGAAAGATTTGAGAAACCTATTTGTAATTTCTTTACTGTAATGATGTATATACTTTCTTAAACAGTATAAAAAGCTAGAATCAGTTTTGTTAAAAATTGACTTTTGCTGTTTCCACTAAAACCTACTATATTCAAATTGTTACAACAGTAGGTACAAAACGTTTTATTGTTATTAAATTTGATTTCTTAGTTTTAATGCATAATAGTTCCTTTTTGCAAAGGAAAATTCATGTCAGGTTTTCGTATCTAAGGCTGTGCCGTCTACGATTTGATAAAGAGTTCAATTTTTGGTTATAATAATTAACCAACTCATAAAACAGTCAAAAAAAAAAAAACAGAACCTGGTATTAGGTATCAGGCAAGCCACTATTGTTTAGAATAAATATCATAGCTAAAAAATTCAATAGAAGAAGACCCGTATTATTATACATTTTAACGCAGCTACAAATTGGAGGTTCCAGATTTGTATTATTTTCTAGAAACGTTGATTTTTGGTAGTGAGGCCTGTAGAAAAACGTGAATGGTCTTCTGTAGTGAAATTCTAGGTTTCTTTGTCGTCGTCTTTAAAGTAGCTACAGTATACGCATACGTATCTACTTGCCAACTTAGGCAATTCTATATCAACTTTTTCTGATACTCTTTGCTCCAGTTTACAGTCGCTGTAGTAATGTGGTAATATAACAGCCATTTTCTACAGTTTAAAAAAAAAAATTTGTAACCAGCTGAATTAAAAAATAAAACTAACATTTTTATATAAAATGAATAAAAATTTGTCTAAAAAATTCCTCGATTTGACCAGAAAAATTAGTCAGCTTTTTTATTTTATCTTGAGGGCACGTCACCCGGAGCTTTTAAAAGTCAATAGTGGTTTTTTGCTGACTGTAATAGATTTAGAATTTCTTGACACTGATATTTTAGATGATTTTCAGCAGCGGTACAATTTTTGACTTTGGTTCTTTGGTATTATAAAAGTGGCAGAAAAAGCAAAGTCTAACACTGTAGTTTATAAGAAATACAATACTGTTTCTTAGCATTCAGTTCAAAAAAGTAGTGAAAAAGCGTTTATAACTAAATTGACAAAAACTTTTTGGCAAACAATTTGAAATAAAGCATTTATTGCACGTTG